CAGAGGCCCGCGCCGCCACACCCACCGCGCGCAGCCCCGGCCGGAGGGGCAGGGCCAGCCCGCGCCCCCCGCCCACTGCGGCTCTCACCTGCCGGTCCCCCAGGAAGAGCAGGACGCCTCCGCCGGGCCGGACGCAGCCGCCGCCGGGCACCTCTCCATGGTCGCTGAGACGCTGCTGCCACCGCTGGCCACGGAGAAACGGGGAGGGGGCGGGCCGCAAGGGGGGTCAAAGGGCAGGCGGTGACGTCACGTGCGGGGTGGGCCGTCCGGGCCGCGCCGGGCGACCGCCTTTCCCGACAGCCTCTGGGGTGTAGGCTTCCGGTGTGGGCGTGGTCGACGGGCTGCGGCTGCTCAGGTGAGGGGCGTGGTGGATCTCGGAGCTACGCGCGCGCGGGACTACCAGAGACTCGGATTGCACGGGGCAGCTGGCTGTGCTCGCGCGACGTTGTGGGACTGTGTCGCAAGTCCTTAGAGTCTCACAGCAACAAGAGGAAACCGCTTCATTTTATAAGTAAACCGAGGGCTGGCAGGGATTCTGTTTAACGGATATTTTGGGGCATCTTGTGCCTGTGAGACATTGTGCTATTTTAATAAAGTTGTGTTTATTAATTATTTATTTTTAGAGCCATAAAGTTTGTCTTCTTAATGGGTAAGAGAATGGAATTTACGGTCAATGTGACTTGGTGGAAGCCATAAAGTTAATCAATTTCAGATTACCACGCTTGCCAGATTACCAGAACACGTATTTAAGGACTGCTTATCTAACTCTCTTCTCATTGACTGCCCTGTCACCTTTTTTCGAAAAAAAAAAAAAGTTGAACACAATAGAATGAGTATTTGTTTTTCAATCTAACCATACTTAAAATGCATATAGTTAAAAGTTAGTATTTTGGATAGAATTTTATAATGTATAATATTTTCAATAAATTAGAATTCTTTTCTCCTGTGGAGATGAAGGTCTGTTACAGTGGAATGGATTAAGATAGGCCAGGTTCTTGTATATGTTGAGGAAAGAAGCCTACATTTCTCAGGAGTAGGTAGCTAGCTATAAAGACCATGGAGAGGGTAGCTGGATAATGATGAACCCGGTAAAAGGAACTCTTGATGAGCTTTAATAATTGAACTCAGGTTTTAATTATTTAAGGTGTCAGATGCTTTGAATTTGAGGTGCCAGCCAACAACTATGACCCCATTTAGCCTGAAGAAGTCCGAGTGGTCATTGTTAATTATTCCTTTACGGCAGTGTGGGCTACTTCAGATGGAGAAATGTTGTAGGCAACTGAATTAGATAGAAATAGGCAGTCAGACAGGGTTGGGCTGGGCCAGGGAGGTGGCTCAGTGGAATAACTGCTTCCCTGGCAAGTGCAAGGGCCTGAGTTCAATCCCGGGTCTGCCACAAACAAACAACAACACAGTGAGCTCTCAAGGACATAGTATGGAACACAATATACCTTACAACTGTGGGAGCGACAGATACTGGAACACAAGATACCTTACAACTGTGGGAGCCACAGATAACTCCCACAGCGGACCAGACTTCAAGACAAAAGAGTAAACAAATGTACCCACATACTTCCCTAGGGGTGGGCATCAGGGGTTAATATTCTAAATAGGTAACAATCATCTTGAATAACCAGAGTCACTAACCCAACCTCCCACAGGAAAAGCCCGTTTTGTATTCATGCCCATTTGCTTCATGAGTCGCTTCCCCATTTGATCACAATTTAGTCAATTTTACCTGAGCAATTGTACTTGTAACCTTCTTGGATGACCATAGCTTCATCCCACCTCTTGTGTAGGTTCCCATGTTTTTCACCTTAAACTTGCCACACTTCATGGTTTTGCACTATAAAAATCCCTAGAAAAGACAGATTCTTTGGCAACCTGCTCAGGACTCCTGTCCCCCTCTTGAACAGAAGCTTTCTTTTCCCCAGGTAAATATATTCTGCTCTTAACCTCTTGTTACTAAAATTCATTCTTCAGTTTTAGAGAACATGAACTCATCCCAGGTATCTTTCAGGTTGGGATTTTCATTCCCCTATATCAAAATGTGTATTCTTGGATTTTTGGTGAGAAATAGTTTTCTTAATTGGATGGCTTAAGTCAATCAGGAACAAAGTTTGTCCAAGAGTCAGTTTGGGACTTTGGCACATTGTAGAGAGGGAGTCTGCATTCCAAATAAACCATGGAATGAGTTAAACAAAAAGATTTGTTGTAGGAATTTGGGGAAATGTGAAGTTAAGGAGATATTATTAACAAGGTGTCATTTTCATAGGCTCAAAAGCAAGACTGTTCAATTGAGAGGCCTATATAAGACTTGAACTGCAACATGGATCGAGGATTCTGTCTTCTTGAAAATTAAAAGGAAGATTGAAATGCATCCATTAGCACTTTTTCTTAAGATTCTACAACTTGGTTGGAAATAGAGTTTGAGCGGTGTCTCCATGTCAAAGTGACTTATGTGTTCTCACCAAGAATGAGATACTTGTTTTAATAATAGATTTTCAAACATTGAACTTTTCGCTTTTTTTTTTTTGTCTGAGGCAGGGTCTTAATGTAGCCTAGGCTGGCCTCAAATGCACAGTGGTCCTCCTGCCTCAGTCTCCTGCGTGCTGGGATTGCAAGTGTGCACCACCACATATGGTCCTGAACACACTAAACTCTATAATACTTTGAGAAAAAGATTTTTCTATGATTGAAAAACTGGTAGTTAGTCAAAGTGAAAGATATTGTGACCCTTAAAAATTCCTGAGGAAAAAAACTTTTATTAACTCTTTATCTGACTTTATCTATGTCTATTATCTATATCTGATGAATAGCAAAGGAGAGTTTTATTTTCTTATTCTAAACTCAATTTTACTTTCATAGGTCCTGGGAAAAGTTTCCTAAGTTCAGGAAGCTCTTTTTGTTGCTTTTGTATATTGTTTAAAAAAAAATTACAGTTGCTTGATGTCTGATTTTCTTGCTTTTGTTCTGCTTTGGTCTAGACTCTTACTTTCATTTCTGTTGTTACTGTGCCATTTATATGTATGAATTCATGATTGAATTCTGCAAGCAGTACAGTGATTTTATTCAAAATACTTATTTTGGAATAAATCTAGGTTTACAGTAAATTTGGAAACAGCACAGAGAATTTTATATATCCTTCGCCAACTTCCCCCAGTGAGAACATCTTACGTTACTTTTAGGTTTTTCAGCAATGCAAAAAGACAGGAAGGCTAAAAGAGGCCCTTATTGATTCTGAATGCACAGAGAGAATCCAAGGGAGATGGGGATCCTCTACCTGAGACAAAGGAGGCTGAGACTCTTATGGACTTTTGCTAGGGGTGGATTTGAGGGGCAGTTTCATTTACACTCAGGGAGCTGACCGGGGTCTCTCTTGTGCATGGAGGTATCTAAGACTGGGGTGGGGAAGGAGGAGGAAGGGCTCATTAGGAAGTAAGTTGTTGTTTGGGGAATTCAGTCGTGTTAGATGACCACCATAATACTTAAGCAATTTATACCCGGGGTAGAACCTATTCTGACCCATTTTTCAGAACTAAGAAATTAACATTTAATTAACTATACATTTTACTTGATATTACCTGTTCTTGTTCCACTAACTTTTCCTGTTCCAGATTCCAATTCAGGACACCATAATGAATTTAAAATCACATTTTAATCATTATTTAGGCATACTTTATAATATATATCTTTCTGAAAACTCAAGTACAAATAGGATTTCTATAAATCAATTTTTAACATGTCAATCTTATAAACATTATTTCTGTCAATCTGCATTATAAAGATAATAGCGTCTATATTGTACTTTATGATTATAGGTCATATGCAAATGTATTGATTTCATAGTCTAAATTATAGAATATTAAGACAGATTAGCAAAGGTGGTCAAAAGTCATGTAGATATACAACCTCTTTGCTTTTTTTTAATTTTTAAAAATCATTCATTTATTTATTTGGTGCAGGGTCTCATGCCTGATTTTGGGGTCTGTTGTGATCCTTTCTATCTGGGAAGAAATGATGGTAGTAATGAAGACAAGAGACAAGAAGACAAGAGCGGGGTTAAGTGGTGACTTGTCTTCCTGGTTGGTAAAAGACCTCACTTCCAGCAACAATATGAACGTTTATTTATACCTTTGCAAAGTTAGTAACACATGACACAAGGTTGCCTAGTGACTAATAGCTGACATTAACCAGCCAAGATGCTTATCTCAGGACCGAGGTAGCTTGTCTGCTTTAGGCACTGAGGCTAGTCCCACTTGCACATATTTGACTAATTTTTTAGCCCCCATGGCTCCTAACGGGCCAGCTTGGCATGAGGTGCTGGGGAACGAACCTAGGTCCTTCTAATTAACAGGCAGGCACTTGGACCACTGAGCTATCTCCTCAGCCCCACATCCTTTTTTTATGGTCAGCTCAGCCTGCCCTGACAAGGCACCATGCCAGGGATTCAACCTTGGTGCCCTGCGCCTGCTGAAGCTTGCCTAAGCAGGTGCTTTAGACCATTGAGCTGTCTTGCTGGCTCCATAACCTCTTTGTTTTATAGAAGATAACTCAAAGCTGTCAAATGGAGTGAGAGCTAATTGAAGTGTGAACTTGAATAACAAATGCCTAGTGGGTTGATTTAGCACAGTTTTGGATATTTCTGGATGATTGGCTTACTAGAAAGAAGAAAATCTTACTTTGGCCTCTTTGGAGGAGTTTCAGTCTTTGCATTGGCTTTAGTTATCTTCCAGGCTTCCAGCTCAGAGTTTTTAGTCATGCAGCATGAACTTTTGGCTTCCTGACACAACATCACATGAAGCATCACAGAGCACCAGGTGAACCCTAACA